AGGGTTAAAATGGGTGTAATGTGATTGGCCAGTGAGAATGCAAGGGGGGAATAAAAATTAGAGTGAGGGGTTTTGAAAGTCAGTTGAGTTAGAGTTGAGTTGAGGGGTGTTGGTTGAGGTTTGGGAGTTGAAGAAGGAAGAGGGAGGATTAGGTGTGGGTTGGTAGAGTTGTATTGTGAGAGAGTGAGAGGAATTGTTAGGTGGAGTCAGATAGATAATTGGGAATAATCAGTTTGAAGTTGTTAGGAACTAAGAATAAGAAACTGATAAGAGAAAAACTAACTGAAACCACAAGCTTGTTCCTGCATTTAAAAATAAACTTGATTATTTGTTTATGCTACCAACTGACTGGACTCCGTGTGTCCCAGTGAGATACGGGGTGGTGGCAGCGGAAAAAGCTATCGCAGAGGCGGCACAGGGTCAACAGACCGTCAAACGTCCGGGGGCCCTGTGTGTGATCGCCACAGCCTGATCCAGCACACTCCTGTTCTCGGACCCAGCCAGCAAGGACAATGGTCAGGGATAACGGGAGTTGTAACACAACAACATTTAGGGGGGCTCCAGCTTGGGGAAGCTGGCACTGCACAAATGGTTTGCAGGATGTGCAAAATGGGCCATCGCTGCCCAAGCAGCAAATCACCACACCAGCCCTTCAAGAAGCAAACATTGATCCTTCCATGAAACATTTTTCTCCACATTTGTCCTTGGGCTTTATCTTACAAATGCTGGAACTAATGTACCTCTCCCCCACCCCAGTGATTTACCTGGGCCCTCAGATTAGCTGCTTCTTTCCATTTAACACACAGGATAAAAATCTAGCAGACACCCATTTAAGAAAGGCCACCATTGTTTGTCAATTGCAGGCAGTGCCGGTAAGTGGCTTCCAGTCATAGCCTTGAGCAGATTCTCTTCATAATACCCAGACAGCACAGAGGCAAGAAATGCCATTTATCTTCTTGGAAGCTACGGGAGATTGTTTTCATACTTTCACAGCGTTCTTTGGAAAAGGGAGGGATGTCCCTTCCTCTGTTTTAGCACAAAACCTGTTTTGGCAATGAAAGCACATTATCACTTTCATTACGTTATTAATCTGAAACGATCGCACTGCCCTCAAAAATGGTAGGGTTAGAAAAGGTTCAGGGAAAAAAGAGCAACCAAAATGACCATAGGAATGGAACGAGGGGACTTCTTAGTTTAGAGAAAAGATGAGAAGGAGGTGCATAAATTCATAAAAATCATTCATGGCAAGAAGAAAGTGGAGAACATACTATTTTCTCCTTCTCTCGTAGCACTGGGCACCCAATGAAGCTGAACATTGAGAGGTTCAGGATAGATGAAAGTTGAACTATGGAATTGTTGTTGTTGTTTAGTCATTTAGTCGTGTCCTACTCTTCCTGACCCCATGGACCAGAGCACGCCAGGCACTCCTGTCTTCCACTGCCTCCTGCAGTTTGGTCAAACTCATGTTCGTAGCTTTGAGAACACTGTCCAACCATCTCCTCCTCTGTCGTCCCCTTCTCCTTGTGCCCTCCATCTTTCTCAACATCAGGGTCTTTTCCAGGGAGTCTTCTCTTCTCATGAGGTGGCCAAAGTATTGGAGCCTCAGCTTCACGATCTGTCCTTCCAGTGAGCACTCAGGGCTGATTTCCTTCAGAATGGATAGGTTTGATCTTCTTGCAGTCCATGGGACTCTCAAGAGTCTCCTCCAGCACCAAACTATGGAATTAGCACCCACAATAGACAGGTATAGCCACCAACTTCAATGGCTTCAAAAGAGGATCAGACAATTTCATGGAGGTATAGACTATCAATGGCTACTAACCATGATGGCTATGCTCTGTCTCCACTGTTGCAAAGCAGTTATGCTTCTGAATACCAGTTGCCATAGGAGGGGAGAGTGCTGTGAGTTCAGGTCCTGCTTGTGGGCTTTCCCCCGCCCCCAAGGCATTTGGTTGGCCACTGTGAGACCAGGATGCAGGACTAGATGGGCCAATGGCCTGATCCAGCAGCCTCTTCTTGTGTTTTCACGCATTCTTTAAATAACTGAAGGGCCATCACATCGACCTCCTGCAGGACTTGTTGTCTGCTGCCCCAGAGGGCTGAACTAGCACAAAGAGGCTCAAGTTACAGAAGGGTTAACTTCCTAACAGCAAGAGCAGTTTGACAATTGGTGCCAACAGGAACACAAGGCTGTACCCAATGCTGTGCTTCTTATAGAGTAGACAAATTGGGCCCATCTGCACTATAAATTTAGAGCAGTGTCGCAGCCAAAGAATCCTGGGAAGTGTAGTTTGTTAAAGATGCTGAGAGTCATCCCTCTTTCCCCTCACAGAGCTACAAGCTCCAGAACAGCTCAATAATCAACCCCACTTCCCAGAGAACTATGGGGACTGTGAGGGGAATGGGGTCTCCTTCAGCACTCTTTTTCAAAATTAAAATATATTTTTCATTTTCACATTTTACAAGCATTTTTAACAAGAAAAATGAAATCTTTACAAATTTAATTTGCATTTCCCTCAACTTCCCTCCCCTCCTTTCTGCAGTTGTTTAGTTTATATCTTTTTATTACTGTATATCCAATTCAAACCTATTTACCAATATTCCTTTATCTTCCCCTTTATCTCTTGCTGCATGTGTTTATATCAATCCTGCTAACATTTTAATTTATTTACAATGTATCTTCAGATAATCAATAATTTCCCCCTATTGTGTTTTTAAAGAATCTCTCATCTTGATTTCTAATTCTTCTGGTTTCACCATTTCTGCATACTCCATCAATTTAAACTGCCAGTCCTGTTTTGTTGGAACTGTTTCTTTTTCCATCTTTGGGTGTAAATCATTCGGGAAGCTGTGGTAGCGTACATAAGCAGTTTCCCCCCTGTTCATTGCATACCTCTCCACCAATTATACCTAGAAGAAAAACTTCTGGTTTTTCCCCAGAAGTGATCTTCAACATTTTCCCCCCAACTCATTATAAATCATTTCACAGAAAGCTTTTGCTAACTCACAAGACAGTTCTCAGCATTCTTAACCAATTCCCATGATTCTTTGGGGTGAAGCCAAAGTGATATGATACTGCTTTAAATGTATGGTGCAGAAGGGACCTTAGGTCCATTCATTTCAGGAGTTCTTACCACTGAATAAAACTGAGTTGGCTATACAGTGGTACCTCAGGTTAAGAATTTAATTCGTTCCAGAGGTCCATTCTTAACCTGAAACTGTTCTTAACCTAAGGTACCACTTTAGCTAATGGGGCCCTCCCGCTGACGCTGCGTGGCTGCCACGTGATTTCTGTTCTCATCCTGAAGCAAAGTTCTTAACCCGAGGTACTATTTCCGGGTTAGTGGAGTCTGTAACCTGAAGCGTCTGTAACCTGAGGTACCGCTGTATTTATTTATTGGCTGCTGTATAAGCCAAGCTATATTTGTGCCCATCTTGCAGGGATTAAATGGAACAAAATTTACAGTAAATCAGTATAATGCAGTTTATACACAGTATAATACACCTTGTAAAATAAGGTACAGTGGTACCTCTGGTTACGAACTTAATCCGTTCTGGAGGTCCATTCTTGACCTGAAACTGTTCTTAACCTGAGGTACCACTTTAGCTAATGGGGCCTCCCGCCGCCGCACCACCACTGCTGCGCAATTTCTGTTGTCATCCTGAGGTAAATTTCTTAACCCAAAGTACTATATCTGGGTTAGCAGAGTCTGTAACCTGAAGTGTCTGTAACCCGAAGTACCACTGTAACCTGAAGAATAAGAAGCTGCTTTTTATGGAACCAGGCCATTAGCAGTGTAGTTATCAGCTACACTGATCGCAGTGGCTCTCCAGGGTTTCAGAGAGGGGTCTCTCCCAGCCTTCCTTGGCAGTTGCTGGGCTTTGAAGCTGGGACCCTCTGCATGCAAAGCAGACCCTGCTTCACTACAGCCTGTCCCAAGAGCACTTTGACAGTGGTACCAGGTGGCCCCAAAGGTGGCAATGGACTCTCCCTGGTTGGAGGCCATCTGTCAAGGATGCTCTTCTGCCTCTGGCGTTCCTGCATTGAGCAGAGGGTCAGACTATGAGACACCCCTCTCCAACTCCATGGTTCTCTGGCAATCTTAGTAAGGGCCGTTGAGATTATTGTGGTTGGTGGGAACAATGCGTTGGAATATTGGTTGCTGGAAACTGCAGGAGGGCAGAGGAATCAAGTCCTGCTTCTTGAACAAGCTTGGTTGGCCACTGTGAGGACAGGATGCTGGACTAGATGGGCCATTGGCCTGATCCAGCCTGGTCCTACTTAAGGCGTTCTTAGGGTTAACCCAGCTGAGGTGCCAGAGTGGGTGGGAAGATGACAAGGAAGACGTCCTGCCTCTCTTGCGAAGGCAGCTTCAAGTTGCAAAGGAAAGGGCCATGTGTGGGTTGTAGGTTTCAGTTAAGGTCCTTCCTGTCTCCCCACCCCACGCAGGATACGAACGCAGGAGAATCACCTTCAAATCAAAGGGTATGCCGTTCCTCAAACAAACTCTTGAAAACAATCACACACACACACACACACACACACACACACACACCCCATTCAAAGTCATGCATATCAGGGCCACATTTCAGCACACAATTAGTTACGTTTCTGCGCATTACGGGCTTAAGTGTGCCTCACTTTGCCCTGGATTGGGGCCTGTGTTTCTCACTGCCTCATTTACCAATATACTAGAACACACTGCATTTTCTTTCTGTTTTAAGACAGCAACAACAAAAAATCTCAAAACAGGCACATGCATTTCTGAAAGGGGCAACAGAGTTACATTTTCATAACTGAAACTGAAAGAGATGGATAGGAGGGCTGGATTCAGGAATGAAATGATAAGAAACAATCTGATTCAAAAACAAATTATTTATTTACATGCCTATCCTAGAGGTCTTTCATTTGGATGCAAATCCCAGTGAATAATTTCAGCACACCTTATTTCTAACCAAGTACACTTAAGATCCTAGGAAGCATTTCTCTCAAATAATAATAATTTATAATAATAATTTATTATTTATACCAATTGTAAGAAGAGAAGCTGACCCCAATGCACAGTGCAATGAGCAAGTACTGGGAGCTTGTAGTCCAAATCTGAATATCCAAGGAATATTTCCTTTCCCACACTAACAGCACATACATGTCCTCATATGGAAACACACTGAGTTCACTGGGACCAACTAGGTGGGGATAGCATCACAACAATCCGATCCCTTTACTTGGGAGTAAGCCCTATTAAACTCAGTGAGATTTACTGCTGAGTAGATAAGTGTACAAGATTGCACTGTAAATCTTCTACTTGGCAACAGCTTCTTCCAAGGAGCACTTCATATCAAGATAGGATCTGAAATGTACAATATGTACCACAGCAGATTTGCTCCTTTCTATAGGAGAAGGTCAGGATTCTCTTTATCTTCATCACAATGTCTCCGGTTGGGTTTCTGATTTTTCTTCTATTAGGTCTTTAAATCCCAATTTTGCCAGTGGTTCTTTGGCCATAAGTTGTCTAAACAAACAAGCAAACAAAAAACAATTTGAAAAGCATTAAACTTGAAATTGGCATGCTTAGCAATTTCATTTCCTGAATAATTTTGTGCCCCTTTCAAATCAAATAAAAAATAAAAAACCCAGAAGATTCACATGATTCTACAGGACTACAGAGGAACCCCTGGCAAATAATTTATATAATTAAGGGTGTTGGTTTGCTTTCTTTTAAAGGAAGGTTCCTGGCTTATGGATATAAAAATATGCTTGAAAATATGTGGGCAGTGGTTGCTTAAAAATGCACAGGAGCTCACAAACGGGAATTGCCAAGGTTGTCAGTTTTCCTTTTAAAAACAACAAAAGGTTTCTAGTCCATTGGACCACTCAGCCGCCCTAGAAACACAGGGACATAGGAAGCTACTTTATACAAAGTCAGATCAAAAACAACAAAGTGATTTAACAATCAATTGTTCTTCTCAGGAAACTGTAGCTCTGGGAGGGGAAAATGTGGTCTCCTAAAAACTCTCAAAACCCTAAACAAACTACAGTTCCCATGATTCCCTGGGGAAAGCAGTGACTGTTAAAGTGCTTTAAATTTATGGGGTGGATGTGGACTCACTGTCAGCAAAAAGAAGAAGAAGAAGAAGAAGAGGAGGAGGAGGAGGAGGAGGAGGAGGAGGAGGAGGAGGAGAAAAGAAAAGAGGGCAGGGGGAATTAAGTACTGTAATTTTACAGATTTCAAAAATGAAGCAGTGGTTTGCGGAGCCAAAAATCCACCATGCACTGACAGCCCAGCATAAGTTGTCTCTGGCAAATTGAGAGCAAACATCCATTAGTTTAAGTGAAGTGTTGCAAATAAGAATGCACTTGCCTCTCCATTCTGCATTCTAAATATTCCTTTGATTCCTGTCTGCACAATGCATTCTCAAAGCTGTTCTCCCTCAGACACTTCATGAATTTTTCTTTGAAAGCTGTACATTCACCTGTTCAACAGAAGGAAAGCACGTTTTTTGAAACAGGAGGCATGAAAAGAAACAGACATGGAATTAAGAGGAAGACAAAACAATAGTGCTATTCAAAGGACAGGCTGGCTGCTGTGGCTCAGCACGAGAACGTAATGCAGTAGGTGGGGGGACACCTTGAAACCACCGAGGCACCAGCAAACCTCCAGGTCACTAAGCTCCAAGAAAAAATAGTTTCAAGGGGGGAATTCAGTGTGAAGTTGCTGATTTAGAATTCATTAGCAGTTCTCAGGATTCTTTGGGGGAAAGCCATGACTATTTAAGTGGTGTGATGCTGCTCTAATCTATAGTGGCATTGGCTCAATCTAGCAGGCTGTTCTTATGCTATTGCTTTATATGTACAGTGCAGATGATGCCTTACAGAGGGGGAGAATTACAAATGCCACCTTGAGCTCCTTGCCCCCCCCCAAAGGGAGATAGATATATATTTTTGTATGTTTTAAAATAGGCTTGTAATTTTTTTCTTGATTCTATTTTTGTAGACCGCTTTGAGGTTTGTCTATTTTATACAGTGGTACCTCAGGTTAAGAACTTAATTCGTTCTGGAGGTCTGTTCTTAACCTGAGGTACCACTTTAGCTAATGGGGCCTCCCGCTGCTGCCGCGCCACCAGAGCACGATTTCTGTTCTCAACCTGAAGCAAAGTTCTTAACCCGAGGTACTATTTCTGGGTTAGCGGAGTCTGTAACCTGAAGCGCATTTAACTTGAAGCATATGTAACCCGAGGCACCACTGTACAATCAAATGGTGCATAAATTTTACAAAATAAGATAAATAAATAAAATGCAATAGAAATAAATAAATAATGAATGAATGAATGTTCTGCTGCCTCTCTTACTGGTCCCAGTGTCAATTCTTGTGCTGGAGGTGGAGCTTTAAAAAACATTGATTTGCGGCCCTCCTCTTCCATTTTTATGGCGGAAAATGCGCCCCCAGGTGTTGTGGGACTCCAACTCCCATCAGCCCTAGCCAGCACGGCCCCCACCAAAGGTGATGGAAGTTATAGTCCATCAGCAACACGATAGTCAAAAGTTCCCCTCCCCTCCCCTAGGGGGCCCATGACAGAAGTTCGGCTAACGGAAAGCTATCGTTTCTATGGGCTCACAGCGGTACCGCTCTATCCCTTGCGCATCTATGGCAAGCGCCCTTATTGACTATGTACTTGGGAGTTCGCTTTTAGGCCGGAAATGCCTGTCGTACTTTCTCTCCCCCCCACCCAACGTCCTCTCTATGGTCGGTGGAGGAATCGCACATGCGCAATCGAGGGGATGGAGGGTTGCGGGGGGGGGGCGGAACCTTCTCACCGAAATGATCCAGAGGGAAAGCGCCTTTGTCCGGCGGCCTTGGCTTGAAGCTTTTCGTCCCGAAGTTCATAGCCGTAGACATGACGACGACTCTCCGAGGACGCGACGCAGCCGCTGCGCCTCTGACCGAACCCTCGCCTCACTTCCGGGATCTCCGTGTTGTCAAGTCCCAGGTTGTGGAGTGGAGCGCCGAGCCAGGCCAGAAGAAACGAGAGCAGAGCTGATCGGGCGGGGAGGAGCCGAGCAGTTAGCCCCGCCTCCTTCAGCCCCACGTGGATGCCTGCCCGGGATGGAGCTGGCATTTTTAAATCTTATTTTATTTATTGATAAATATGTGCTTTGCAGAAAGCAAAGGAGCCTTGCGATATTTCAGAGACTAACCAGTCTTAATTGCGCCTTCAGATTGAAACTGGAAGATGTGATTTCTTCAATTCCAGGAAATCTATACCGCTTTACTGTGTAATTCTTTAGAAAATAAATAAATAAATCTCCAAGCTGTTTGCAATCTACCTACATCAAAACATCAGATAAGACGATCCATAATAAAACATTACTGAAGAAAGTCAAATATAAAACTTGCATTCAAAGTAACACAATCAACAAGAAACTAAAACATTACAGTGGTACCTCGGGTTAAGAACTTAATTCGTTCCGGAGGTCCGTTCTTAACCTGAAACTGTTCTTAACCCGAAGCACCACTTTAGCTAATGGGGCCTCCTGCTGCCGCTGCACAATTTCTGTTCTCATCCTGAAGCAAAGTTCTTAATCTGAGGTAATATTTCTGGGTTAGCAGAGTCTGTAAACTGAAGCGTATTTAACCTGAAGCGTATGTAACCCGAGGTACCACTGTATCTTAAAGGAGGTCAGCTACACAGTGTGCATTTACCACAGCAAAGTTAACAACAAGAAAATATTATCTTAAATGTTTCAGAAGAAAGTATGCCCTACTTGTGCTTCAGCTAGTTCCAATCCTTCAGCTGGGATACTTGTTCAAGCAGAAGGTGGTTTTTTTCAGATAATAATAATAATAATAATAATAATAATAATAATAATAATAATAATTTATTTATACCCCGCCCATCTGGCCGAGTTTCCCCAGCCATAGATTTAAGTGTTAGAAGCTTAAAACACAGGCAGTTCTCCCCTGTTGCATTTCAAGTCGCATTTACATGCTGCTGTACATGCCAGAAAGGAGGTGGAGCAGAACCTCCAAGTGCCCCTATTTTCCAGGGATGTCCCTGAGTTACAGAATCCGTCCCGGTTTCTGCTTTGATCCTGGAATGTTCCACTTTTTCTTAGAATTTTCATTGGAGAAATGTTGGAGGGTATGGAGGTAACTGACCCCCAAGCCATCTGAAGTCAATCCTGTATAGGGAGGTGTTTTGTTTTTTTAATGTTTAATGTTTTATTATGTGTTGGAAGTTGCCCTGAGTGGCTGGGGTAACACAGTCAGATGTGTGGGGTGTAAATAGTAAAATTCTCATTATGGAATGGAACATCCCTATTTTTATCGAAGAAATGTTGGAGGGTATGGTGGAGGTGTCTTCACCTAATGAGCATTGCTTGTTTGATTTCTCTGTGGCTTCATTACCCCACACAACTTCTATTTAGTTAAACTCACACCTGTGCATGTGCCATCATCTGCGCATGGCTGCCTCAAATTTATGCACCTGAGGTTAATTGCAAAATGAGTGTGGTTTGCGTGTTCAAATCGGATGGGAGCTGGTTTAAGAGACAATGAATCCAATAGCAGGTTTTCTCAAGAAACTACAGGACAGATATGGATGTGGCTAACATCCTGTGTACACTGCTTCAAACGCCAGCAGTGGGAGCACGCTGGAGCCAGATGACTTAGTAATGCCTTTCACTGGCTCTACTTTTGACCTCTCTCTGCCTTCTGTCCTTTCTGTCTCAAGGGGCACCGAACACCACTGGTTGTTGTGAGACACTGGTTGCCTGTAGCTCCTGGGAAGCAGCGTTGAATATACACGGGATAAAACAGTTGCAGAAAAGCAGGTGTTTCGGCAGCTTTCCCTGCGAAGGTGTGAAATGCCATAACATCACCTGGGCATGCCTTTACTTTGTTCTGTTCATTGCATAATAAGCCCTGCGGTTGGTATACTCATACGGGAACTGTATTTGGTGATTTATTACCACTGGCATTCTGAACAAAATGTTCTTCCAAGAAAAACTTAGTTCTGATTTGACTGGGTTTTTAAAAAAGAAAAAAAAGATGGCCCAAGTTACTTAACAGACTGAAGAGTTCAGTGCCATGCAGTCCTGCGCATGTTTACTTCTGAGTCAGCCTCCACTGTGTGTAGTGGAGCTTCATTTTCACAAAATGAAAATGTCTCATCTAAATTCTTAAGATCAACCCTAGAAGTACCTAAACACGTCTCCAATGCTACCATACATCTCAAAGCTGGATTCGTAAGAATCGAGGCCAGAGTATGGCTTGCCACACTGAATTATTGGCTATCCTTCCTCCCACGTGGTCTTGCTCCCTTAACTATTAAGGATGGTTTCCAAACGACAGGGCAATGTGTTACATACTCAGTTGCTAGTTTTATGTGTTTTAAGTTTTATGTGTTCAGTTTATCTGTATGTTTTATCTTATGCTGGCCTGGGACCGAAATAAAGTTTGATACTGATACTACCTCATTTTAACTTGCTGGGATCTGTTGCAGGATGAGCTGCAGCCAGCTGCATACCGACACATTTCAGTTACAAGAAAGCCTGAAAATTTACAGGCATATCCATGAGCTTCTTTCTTTTTCATACCTCGGGTTGAAGTTGCTTCAGGTTGAGCACTTTCGGGTTGCTCTTTCATAGTTTATTAGCAGCCAGTCTTATGTTGTATCAACTTGTTTCTTTGAAGTGTGTAATATTGTTTTGATAGCTGTAATATTTATTTATTTCACCTCATGTTTCCTGAAATTTTATATATATGTTAAGGACCTTGCTCCCATACGTTATGCACAGCAGCAGAAAGTAGATCCAAACTTGGCGTATATGGGTGGGGCAAAGTGAACATGCCTGTTCCGCGGTGATTGTAAACTTACTAGACATCAGATCCATCAAAAGATGGTCAGTAAGAGATCTCAATGAGCAGGGAAGTACTTAGATGCTCTCTCGCGCGTCCAGATCATAAGGTAATCGTTGCAAAAATATCACTGCCGCTCAAGGCGACCTGTTGTTTGTGCTCCTTAATCCTTTCCCACTCTAGAATTTGAAACTGTAAATGGAAAAGTACACCCAGTTTAGTTACATAACCATCGGATTAGGCATCTTGAAATCTGAGGTCTTAATTATGTTGTTCCTGCAAACCATGAGTAATGAATTTTTTTGGGGTTTCTAAGCAACTGATTGTTTTCTACGGTATATAATGCAATTAGCACTTTGAAATTTGGCTGGTTATTACTTTTGGCAATAACACGAGGAAGGAAACAAGCCGGAGGAAACACTAGGGTTGCCATATTTTTTTTTTTAAAAAAAATCTTTTTCCTTTCTGGCAAAAGCTGTTAACCTCCCCCCCCCCCCCCAGTTTTCTCCAAACTTGTTGAGCTTTTTCAGCAAAAACGGCACTGCTGCTAGGGGCTGCTATTCGGCTGGATTTTTCCAAAGAAATTCCTGATTGCCACCCAGACACTGTTGCTGACTGCAGTATTCCGGATACTACATTCAAATAACCACACCTAGAATGCTGGTGAGCCTCTTGCCCAGTCACACATCCCTGCTTCTCTTTCCATAAGAATATCCTCTTCAACATTCCTCACATGAAAACATTTGTGAGTCAAGGACCCACCACCCACTTGAGGATAAGAAAGACACAAGGACGCAGTATATTAGGTTAATGGGCTCAAAAAGGCCACAACTTTATTGATTACAGCATGTGAGTGGTACAGTGGTACCTCGGGTTACATACGCTTCAGGTTACACACTCTGCTAACCCAGAAATAGTGCTTCAGGTTAAGAACTTTGCTTCAAGAACAGAAATCGTGCTCCGGTGGCGCAGCAGCAGGAGGCCACATTAGCTAAAGTGGTGCTTCAGGTTATGAACAGTTTCAGGTAAAGAACGGACCTCCGGAACGAATTAAGTACTTAACCTGAGGTACCACTGTATTGGCTTAGGCATTGGATAAAACAACAGAGCGTGAGTCCACCCCCTCAGGGAGGGGTGAGTCTATCAAGGGTTAACCACCAGTAGGAGGAGCTTGTTGATGCAAATACAACTGGAAGCTCCCCCTGATGTCACTGGGGGTCGTGCCATGGCCCTAGCCACCTAGCAAGGGCATCAGACAGGATCCATGACCGCCGGATTCCTTTAACGGAATAACCAAAAGTGGAGGGGTAGGCGATGGCGACACCCTGCCCTCCAATACACAAACATATTCCAATGCCTAACCGCCACCCGAGCCAAAAAGGCTCGCCGCCAATACCCTCACAGCTGCAACCAATCCCTAAGGCTTCTGATGATGTCGGCCAGCCAAATATCGTTGCCGAGATCCAAAAGGTGAACACCATCTTCCCAGAACAGAGTCAACTCGCTGAACCGGATGTCAGCATGCACAATCACATAGCCATTCATAAAGCGCAATTTGCATGCCACCACACGATTTACAAGTTTTCTGGAGTTGTCGATGACCGTAGGGCTACGGGAGCCTCGCCAAAACCTCCTCTTCAGAAGGTTGGACCAAAACAAAGTTGTCCTGGGGAATAGAGCAGCCAAATCATCATCCGACGAAACCCAGCAGCGCAATGAGAAGACAATGCTGCCACAGCCGCATTTGAGCGGCTAAACCCCACCTCCTCAGCTTCCGCCTGATTGGTTGGTTGCCAGGGGGCGTGGCACAGCAGCCGGGACAGCAGACGCAGGGGCCGGAACACCCCCTACCACGCAGGAAACGACTCCCGCTCACAACTCCTCCCCTCTGGAAGGAGGAGAGGCTTTCTCTTTTTTCTTTTTTTTTAAAGAATAATTTTTTATTAACCGACCAATCACATCAAATCAAACCAAATTATATAAATTCCAAATTACACAGCCGAATTTTAAATTTTTATTGGGGGTACCCATATTTCAAGTTCCGAAGGGGATCCAATCAACTTCTTGCTTCTTACTGCTGTTTTAATGTCCACAAATCTAACCTTATGATGTTCACAGTACTATCCAGTCCTTTCTTATTGTTTTTCCGCATCTCTTGTTGTTATTTTCATATATTTTTCCTTTCTCTTTGTGACCTCTGATAGTCTCCGCAAGCTGGT